TGTTCTTTTTTGTGTATTCATACACAATCAATTTTCACTTTGCTTCTGTTTGTGCTCTCGTACTAATGGTTGTTCTTCCTCGGAAATTGTCTTCTTGGTCTTCACCTTCCCTTGCCCTTTGAAATATTTTCACTTTCAACTTACCCTACGTCCTTTTTCATTGCTTCCGCGTTTCCTAGCGAAACATGTATGACCATGTCCTTAGTTGAAGAACATCGTGTCTTTTGCTGGTTGAACTCCCTGGGGTATGAAGAAACTGGCAGTGGTTTCAGCCAGTTCAGTGAACTGTGTTCAATCACATGAGGCTCAATGTTTTAAAATGTTGTTCACCCAGATGGTTTTTCTTGGGAAGGGAGAGGAACCCAAAGCCCCAAAAGGAGAATTCCAGGGGAGCCTGAGTTTATGGGAGCCAGAATGGTGAAGCAAGAAGCAAAGACTTTAAGCATTACCTTGATTTTTGATGTAGAAGCTTGCAAAAGCGCCCAGACTACTGCTGTGGTTAGATCTGAAGTGTATGCTTTGGAAGATCCCAGTGTTATGCATTATTTAATGTCAATATCTTTTAGTTAATGAAGAGCAAAATACTTCATTAGTGGGGCATATCCAGTATACAAACCATTTTTCTTGCAGTTAATTTACTCCTCAAATTATCTCTTGTCTAATTGTCTATTATCTTTGGCATCCAGAGTTAGCTGTTTAAGATGTTTCCAGAGGGAAAGATGGAATACAACAAAATCAATTAATGAGCATATGCAAAATACCTCACTGGACTGTGTATGGGCAGTCACTTCAGATCAAGGCAAGTTTTGTTAGACTGAGGGTAATGCAGGCGGCTTGCAAGAAACGCAGGGGCATAATCCAATTTCATGTATAGCTTTAAAACTTGTATACTGTGCTTTTGAAGGCCTGGCAACTGACTGAGGAAAGAAGTATTTAAATTAGTCAGGTAGTCTTGATTTTTGTTTCTCTCTGCTTCTGGTGAGCAGCACAGCTCTGGGCACGTCACTTCACTGAGTTTCTTTAGCAGGCATGGTGGTGTTGGGTTGATGGCTGGACTTGATGATCTTAGAGGTCTTTTCCAACCTTAATGATTCTATGATTCTTTTTCTAAAAATCTCATTTGTTGTATTTGTTGTGGTAAACTAGTTTGAGAGCTATAAATGAAAAGCTCTGCATGTTTTATTTTATTTGTAAGTACAGTTTTCGAATTTGTCACTGGCTGTAAAAGTTGCATCTGTTGCCTTTATCCAAAAAATGAAAAAGCAGTTGGAATAAATCTGACTTAATGTGGCAGGACATGGCTTTTGTATTTTTCTTGTAGTAACTAGCACACAGTGGCCCATATGAAGCATAAGTCTTTAATTATTTGGGAAGTCTGACCTCTTTGAATGGAGTACAGAAACATAGTCTAGTTGAGTATCTCTTTTTTCTAGTCACGATAGTCCAAATGAGTTGCAAGGATTTATATTACTTCCTTCAGTAGGATAATCTGCCCCAAACATTAAGTAGCATTTCAAAACACACTCTTAAACTGTAATGCATGTGCAAGTATTGCCAGTGCTAATTCCTGATTTTTTGCTTTGGCAGCAATACCAATTTGTGTGTAATAAGTGTCCCACTGTTTTCAGAGCAAGGAGTTTGGGAGTTTAGATGGTGCCTCGTAGTTGACCTGACTGCTCCAAGTTAACCATGTAACTCTGCGTCTCCTCCCTGTGATAACCAGTCCCATTGTGCAGCCAGCATAGCGAGGTGTTTGCAACTGGTGGCTGGAAACTGCCAGGCAAGTTCAATAGCCATAGTCATAAAGATTTTTTGAATGCTGATGGTACTTATGAAGGGAGAGTAGTAGGAGAAGTTGGGAAGACTGTTATAAAAGCTGCAAAGTCAGTCACAACAGCCACTTCAACAGGGACCAAAAAAAAAAAAAAAAAAAAAAAAAACAAAAAAAAGCACCAAGGCACACAGTGCCTACATACAATGGACTGTGGTCCCTTCTGTCCTTCAGGAGTATTTATGCTGGTATCACTCCATATTCGGTTAGGCTCCAGGGGCTTGGTTGTGCAATTTGCCAAGACCTTTTGCCAGAATTCAGGAGAACCTTTTTGCTTGCTGCACGTAATCCATGTGAAGGGTTTCAGGTGGTTTGCTGGAGTAGGAACCAAGGGATTGGCAGCTCAAAGCGTAAAGCTCTTAGTGAGGGGGGAAAAAAAAAAAAGGAACATTTCCTGCAAGCCTACAGCCCTTTTTGCTGCAAAGCTTGTGGCTCATGGCAGTGGATTTTTGTACTTTCTCATTTAGCTTGTCAGTGTTAGAAAGGAAAAGTCATTTTTGCAGAAGTAATAGAATAGCTAGCCTGAGCAGGTGCAGAGCTGAAAAAGCTCTTGTGGGTTTTATGTAATGTATGCCAGCTGAGATGATGGTGATGGGAGAAATTAAGCATTAGCTAATGGTCATATGATGCAAGGATTTGCATTGTGACATTCACGTTTTTTACACTGAATTTAAATGTGAAGACACTTTGTTCTTGTTTTAATTTCCAAATTTGTTGTAGAGAACAGAATTTCTAAAAACAAGCTCTTGTATAACATAAGATAAATAGAACTGTCAGTAAAGAACTATTACACAAGAAGCTATTTTAAAAGCAAGCAGACATCCACCTGGAGAAATGCAGTCACTATACCCTTCAGGAAAATCTGTAGGAAAACTTAATGAAGATGAGCATGCAATTTCTTGAATATGGTGTTTGGTTTTTTTTTACCAAGAAATGAGGAATTTAACAATACTGCAGATTGGGTTATTGAGAAAGCAGTGCTAACTAGGGCCTCCACCCCTTTTTCAGGCTTGCAAGGAAGAAGATGTTTTGCCAGAAACTTGGAGGAGGCAGAAGCTGATTCATTTATTCCATCAAAGTGTGTTCCCAGCAGGATACATGTAGCTCAGCTTAAAATAGGGGGGGGAGGGGGGCTGAAATTGCTTTACTTGATGTGGCTTTGATAAGTGCTCTGAGTAAACAACACCTGAGTGACCCGTTTTCAGAGGACAGTGCACAGCTGCTGAGCTGAGATGATGCTAAGGATGCTTTGGTGAAGTCAGTCGTACTGAACACAGATGCAGGGGGCCATGTTAGACAGCTCTGATGCTGTGAAAAGCCAGAGTTGAAGACTCAATAGTCAGAGGGCTATTAAGCAGGTATTCTTTATTACAGTGCCGGGCACATGAGGGATCTCTCCTCCAAACGTGCGCGCCAAACACCCTGTCATTTCAGGTTAAATACAATCACAGTATACCTATTCATTATATTTCTGAGAAATGCTTAGCATATTAATGATTTTCCCAAGAACTAATTAGCATATGTCAATGTCTTTCATGCATGTCTGTTAGTGTGCTCGGGTGGTCTTTGGGGATCCTAAGGTAAAGGCTTGTACTCTTCATCACAGTGTCCACTGGTTGACCTCTGCTTCTGCGCAAACTCAGTCCTAAGACCAGTATACCATGTCCTTCCAGGTTGTTTTGCTCCGGTCTTGTTGCCCTGTTGGTGCCTCTTTATCTCTGTGCCTTGGTACATCTGCCCTCCCAAGGCTGAGCTGTCTAGGGTAGAATTATTTAGGAGCCTCTCTATCTTAGAGCTTTCCTGTCTTCTCAAAACAGCAAGGATCTACTTTAGTTTAATTACAGTCGCTCTGGTAAGTGGAAATTTTACATTTACGGGTATCGGCTCCAAGGTAGGATTCTGCAGCTGCTGCACAGTGAAGAGCGTTCGGCATGAGAGCCTCCGCCAGGACTGGAGCAGAGTTGCTTTGTGAAGAGTAGTTGGCTCTGAGTATGGGCTGCACAGAACAGCCCTGCCCTGCCATCTCTGTATGCATCTAAGGGCCTGCTGAGCATGGCAAACATCGGTCCCAGCCTGTGATCAGACTTACAGAAGTGTATGATGGAGTAGCTGAAACCTCTGATACATCAGTAAGTTTGAAAAGATTGAGTGGTTATCCATCAGCTTGGTTTGCTGAACTTGCAAACAATAACACTTTCCCCTCTGATGACGAGAGCTAGGAAAATGGATCGCAAGTTAAATTTCAGTTTATCGTTAAGGTAAGCGCATTAAAAAAAGTTCCATTTTAAGGTTCATTATTGTGTCTCTTCTGTTTGGAAACACAAATTTTATAACTCAACAGTTCAGGTTCTAGCGGAGACGACTGCTCATGTCCTGCAGCCTTCAGTTGTGGACACTAGTGCTCAGGGTTTATTCCATTCCTCATGGTTCTGCAGCTGCAGGTGTCTCTGCTACAACTCAAGCAATGCACTCTTGGGGATCAGAGAGGCTACTTGTGACCTTATCCCTGACAAGAAAACAGTACAAGGGCTGCCATTTTAATAGAGTGTCAGCAGTCACTTGAAATACAATGACATTATTTCTGTCTAGAGGGCTTGAAGTGAGAACATGTGGCATGCCTGGTAGTCTTGCCTGACCTTCTCAGCTATGCTGTACCACATGCATTTTGTACACCAGTCCAGCTCAGTCACCCAGCAATTTCATCAGGGTTCACTGTTTCTCATTGCTCATAGCGGGAAGTCTGCATCTAAAATTGAAATTTAGAGATAATTTCGTTGAAAGATGAGATGCCAAATGCAGTCTTTCCTGCTGTCTCCGTACTTTGTTTCTGATTTGGCTTTGTTGTCAGCCACTAAAATAGCAAATCTCATGCAGCTGTGACCTAGCAGGTTCTCTTGCTTTTTGAAATGCCACCCAGAAGTGAATAACATGCGAAGGCTGTGGCTAAAGGTGACAAATGCCTCATGTTTAGCAAAAGAAATCATGCAGGCTGACCTACTTTCAGCTCTAGCATTGGCAGAAAACTCTGCAATAGGCTTTTGTTGTTAGACCTAACCCTAGAAAACTAAATTGCGCAGTCCTCTGCCATCACTAATGTGCGTGGATGTCATCTGGCATTTAGAAAAAAGATCTGGAACACAATGGGTCAACTTTGGAACTCAATTTCTCAGTGTGTATAATGGGCATGAATGCTCATTTTGTGAGGAAGAGACTTGGGTCATAAGCTTTTTTAAAACCTGGAGTCAGGTGAAATGTTTTAAGACACTATGATTTTTATAATTATTAAAATTATAGAGAAGTTTCAGAATTAAGCTTTCATTCATATATCACCAAAGTATCAGTGAGAAACCATAAAAATTTTTAATC